TAGCATTTGGAAACTCCTCCCACAAATGGCATGGGGCTGTGGAATGCAGCAAACACCAAGCCCTCATCCTGGCCTGGTGTTAACCATTAACAGGTAGGAGATAATTACCTGGCAACTTCAAAAGTAAGTTTTGCCAGGAAAGTGTCCTTGTTACCAAAAACTTCCTCCAGCAGTCCCAGAGCTCCCTGCTCAGGACTGGTCTGTCTTCTCCACAGGATTGTGAGGTTAGAGTTGGACCTTTATTGCTGGCCTTCCCTTTCAAAAACCCCCAGAAAAGGGAAAGAGAAGACTCAAGTTCAGGGATCAAGATTCTGAAGAAATAAGACTATAAGAAAAGCAGTTTTTTAAAAGATGAACGCTAACCTAATCACCACCACTACAAAATTGGAAATCCAAAACAAATCATGAAAGCAATAAGCCCATATTTCTGTATTTGATTACAAAGTACTCTTTTTATAGTAACTTTTATGAGGTAGGCAATGCAAATATTATTGTCCCCATTTTGCAGATGAAGAACTAAAGATGGAAAGTGGAAGTGATTTTCCTGTTAATAGCTCACATTTCTCTAGTCCTTTACAGTTCACAGAATCATAGGATTTAGAGCTGGAAAAGATCTTAGAGAGATCTAGCCCAACCCTCTGATTTTACAGAAGGGGAAACTGAGGCCCAGAGAAGGCAAGTATCACTCAGGTAACAGAGCTGGGATTCAAATCCAGTGTACTTTTCATTTCAACACGTTGCCTCCTAACTTTACAGAGTACTTTTTTCATAGCAACCCGGTAATAAGAGGTATGAGGATTATTATTCCCATTTATCTAAAGATGAACCTAAGACCCAGAAGGGTTAAGGCACCAGCACTGCTTTTGGAGTCAAAGGGTCTGAGTTCAAATCCTGACTCTACTGCTTACTGCCTCTGGCCTTGGGATTCCTCATCTTTAAATGGAGAAGGACAGACTAGGAGGTGGGGAACCTTTGGCTTCAAGGCCACATGTGGCTCTCTAGGTCCTCAAGTGAGGTCCTTTGACTGAATTCAGGCCACAGGTTCCTCACCTCTGAGAGAACCTTTAAGGACCCTCCCAGTTCTTACTTCTATTACTTGTACAAGACCACAACTACTATGTATCAGAACCAGGGCTCAACACCATGCCTCCTGAATCTCATTGCAGGGCCCTTCTCTTTATTCCTTTATGTCTTCTTATCTGGGAATGCTCAGATTACTTGTAGTTATTCTCATTTTGTGATAGTATAAAGCAGAAGTCTAATCTTTCTTCCATATGACACTTTATTTAAAGGTAACTATCATGGTCCTCCTCTCAGTCCTTCAAATCTTCTCCAAGCTAAATGTTTTGGTTCCTTCCAACATTCTTCACATAGCATGATCCTGAAGTTCCTCACCATCCAGATTGCCTTCCTCTGGGCCCTCTCTAGCTCATTACTCTCCTTTCTCTTTCTCTTTCTCACGTTTTTTCTGCTAGGCAATGGGGTTATTACTCTCCTTTTTCAAACATGGTAGGCAGAACTAAGCACAACCTTCCAGATGGGTTCTGATCAAGGTAAAGAACAACAGTAAAGTTGTCATTGCCAAAATCATCCAACCTAAGGTTGAATTAAATTTTCTGACTGTCATGTTGAACTGAACTTGCAGTCCACTAAGACCTCCAGATCTTCACAAGAACCAGGACTTTTTTTTGTTAACCTGAGTGTTAACCTGAGAGGACTTTATACTTACCACTATTAAATTTCATCTTATTTGACTCACTCAATTTTTCTAGCCCATGGAGGTCTTTTGGGATCCTGGCTCCATCATTCAGTTAGCTATCCCCACAAGTTTTATTCCATATGCAAATCTGATACCATTATCTAAGTTATTTATAACAAGATCAAATAAGCACAAAACCCAGAACAGAACTTTGGGGTAGTCTTCACTGAAGACCTTCTTCCAAGTTGATATCTACCTTGGGACAGCTAGGTAGATCAATGGATAGAGTGATGAGCTTAGAGTCAGGGAGGCCTGAGTGCAAATCCAGCCTCAGACAGATACTTAGCTGTGTGATTCTGGGCAAATCACTTAAGCACTGTCTGCCTCAGTTTCCTCAGCTGTAAAATGGGAATAATAACTACCTACCTCACAAAATTAAGAGGATCAAATGAAATAATATTTGTAAAGTACTTAGCTCAGAGCCTTGCACCCTTCCCTCTCCTACCTCTGAAATCTTTAGGACTTATTCAACTACATCTGAATCCACCAGACTGTTCTCTTGTATAGCCCACAAGTCTTCATCTTGTCCACAAGGTTAGCATGAGAGACATTGCCAAATGCTTGCTGAAATCAAGTCTACAATGTCTACAACATTTCCATAATGTATCAATCAAGCAACCCTGTCCAAAAAAAAAAAAAAGAAAAAGGAGGGATCATAGGAAGAAAGCAAGTATTTATTAAGTCCCTGCTATGTGCCAGGCACTATGCTAAGTGCTTTACAAATATTGTTTCATGTGATTCCCACAATGACTATAGGAGTTAGGTGCTATTATGTTCTCCATTTTACAGTTGAGAAAACTGAGGCAAACATAAGGTACATGACTTGCTCAGGGTCAAACAGTCAGTGAGCCTCTGAGGCTAGATTTGAATTCAAGTCTTCCTGACTGTAGACTCGGTGTTCTATCTACTGCACCACCTAGCTGCCTGCTATAATCACAGGATCATAGGTTTAAAGCAGGAAGAAACCTCAGCCATCAACCACTCCCTCATTTTACAGAAGAGAAAACTGCTCCCATTCATTCCAGTAGACAACGGCAGATCTTGTGCTTTCCCTCTGTACTATGCTGTTAGCATATGAGTCTGGTCGGCTGAGACTTGTTCTTGGGGAATTCACACAGTCTCATTCTCATCACTGCTTCCCTTTCCAGATGTTCACAACCCTTCCCTTTAATGTATGTTCTAGGATTTTTCCAGGAACTGAAGTCAAGCTCAGTGCCCTATAAATGACAAACTCTGCTTTTTTCCTGGTTTTAGAAATGGGAATATTTGCCCATATTCAGTCCTGAAGCATGGATCCTGTTCTCCACAGCCTCTCAAAGATCTCTGCAACTGGCTCAATAATTATACCTGCTTCTTCCTTCGGTCCCCTGGGATATAGTTCATTCAGGTCTAGTGACTCAAATTCATCAAGGGCAGTCAAGCATTCTCTTGCTATCTCCTTCCTTAACATGGGCTCCAATCTCTAATTAATCATTTTCTAGTCCAGGATCGTTTTTTCTTAGCAGAGAAAAGAGAAGTGAAATGAGTTGAGTAGTTCTGCCTTTTCTTCATTATCCTTTATCTTTGTTCCAACCCTCTTGATGAAAAGCTGTCCTAATTTTTGTGTGTGTGTGTGAAACAATTGGGGATTAAGTGACTTGCCCAGGGCCACAGAGCTAATAAGTATCAAGTGTCTGAAGCCAGATTTGAACTCAGGTCTTCCTGATGCCAGAGCTGGTGCTGTATCCACTGCACCATCTAGCTGCCCCAGTCTTCCTCTCTCTTTTGCCCAATAGAACTAAAATGCCCTACTCATGGTCAATGTCAGCTTGATCTGAACTTTTATATTCTTGACACTCTTCTTACAAGACCCTGGAGCACTTTGGTTCTATTACCTATCCTTGGTCCTACCACCTTTATATCCTTCTTAAAGTCTACATTGATCTCTATAGACCATCACTTCTTAAACTGTGGATTGCGACCCAACATGGGTTTGCGTAACTGAATATGAGGGTCACCAAAAATTTGGCAACAGTAAAAGGTTTCTGAACGCACATTGACCAAAAATTAATTCAAAATCAAATGTGTAATGAATCTGAGGTGTTTCCGGCAGCGCTTGACTGTGTTGCATCATGCAACTTCACTGCAGCCTTGGTTCTGAACACACAACATGCACACTTTGCACTGTGCATGCCGTCACACTACACAATGCAACAGGAATGCTGCCAGAAACACCTCGGCTCAGGTTCAAGACTATTGTATGTTATGAACTGCAGTATTTTTAGTGTGCCTACAAAATCGTTAACTGAATTTTGGCTTGGGATTAGGACAGAATTTGCAGCAATTTCTGAAATGACCCTAAACATACTTCTGCCATTTTGTACTATGTATTTATGTGAAGTGGCGTTATCAACATTGATGATTATAAAATCAAAATATCAATCAACTTTGAAAAACATTGAAGATGTTCTACATCCTTCAGTATAAAATATTCCACCAAGATTTAATTATTTATGTAAAAATAAACAAGCATATCCATCTCATTAATATGTAAATTTGCTTTCATCTTTGATAAATGGTAAAATTATATATATATCAAAGAATCATGATTTGTATACTTATTTTATGTATCTGTATACCTGGGGACATGTAAAAATTTCTCGGGCAAAAAAAAAAAATTTCTCAGGCAAAAAGGGGTTGTAAATGGAAAAAGTTTAAGAAAGCCTGCTATAGACAACACCCTCTTTCCTTCCTCATTGGAGTTGTTTTTGTTTGTTTCTGTTTTCAGAACTTCATTCTTGAGAGCTTCCCATCCCCTTTGGACTGACTTCCCCTGTAGAATTTTTGGCAGTGGGCTCCTACCTAGCTTTCTCCAAATGCTTTGAAATCTATTCTCTGAAAATCTAGAATGCCTGTCAGACTATCCTTGCATCTCCTCTCTTCCTCTCTCAGAGATTTTAAGATGAAGTGAGTGGTGACTTCCCTACAAGGTGGTCAATATTTCTAATTTGGCAGCCAATTCCTTCTTGTTGGTGAGAATCAGGTCCAGAATAGGTGTAGTTGTTACTTCCTTCACTTCCCATAAAAGGGAAATTTTTCCACTTAAGAGAGGAAGAAGCCTTCAACTTCAGTAATGTTGGTGGTCCCTATTACTCATGTGCCTACTCTGCCTATCAGTTAAATGGGCACTTCTCTCCCAGTGCCCACTCTATCTTTGGACCTTCTCTCCAGGAACTTCTGTTCTGCTACTCCCCCCGCCCAGGTATTTGGTGATACTGAACAGGTTCAGATGACGTCTGAGGGCTCTGACTGCCGCTGCAAGTGCATCCTGAGACCCCTGAGCAAAGACGCCTGCAGCCGCGTCCGCAGTGGGAGTATGAGAGTGGAGGATTTCTACACAGTGGAAACTGTGAGTTCTGGGACTGATTGCCGCTGCTCCTGTACTGCACCACCTTCCTCTCTCAACCCCTGCGAGAATGAATGGAAGATGGAAAAGATCAAGAAACAGGCACCAGAACTCTTCAAGGTATGTGGGGTAGGGCTGAGCAGATACTTTCCCTTTCCAGAGAAAGGGAAGCAGCCACAGTGGCTGGTGGTGGAAAGGGTGGAAGGGAGGCAGGCCCAGGGGCCAGATTCAGGAGATTACAGGACCTGTAAAGGGAACCCCCAAATACTCAGCAGTAAGTCATCACAAAAAACATGACTTCTCGTACTCAATCAAAATGGCAAGTCACTGTTCCAGTGTAAAGTCACAATCTCAATAAATTCCCTAATCTCTAATCTCAGTAAATTGTAGAATCAATCCCCACTGTGATTTCAATATATCACAGGTTGGCATAAGAAATTAAATGGGAATTTTTTAGGAGTTTGGCGGAAGCTTCAGACAATACACGAAGGCCAGCAAATGACACAGAAAAAGTTTAGAAACTCGGAAATGCATAAAATACATGTATGGTATTGTAGAATATCAACCCAAATTTTACAAGAGGGTACTGTAAATACCCCATAAAAGAAGAAGAAAAAATTCAGGTTTCTTTTCTGGTACAAAGGGAGGGCCAAAAAATTTTACACAGATTTTCCAGATCGTGGGGGTGCTGTGTCCCTAACCCTCACAATATGGAGTGGATAACCATAATGAAAACTGAAATGGACCTTGACTGCAGAATGTTAAACTTGGAATAAGACTATAGAACATGGAATGTTAGGAAATAAAACATGGAATAGGACCTTAAAACATAGAATGGAACTCTAGGGGTTACCTAATCTTACTCCTTCATTTTACAGATAAAGAAACTGAGGCCCAGAGAGAGGAAGAGATTTGTCCAGAGCTGTACAGTTAATTAAGATTGGGGATCAGAATACAGGCCTTCTTACTCCTAGTACATTGTCCTTTCTGCTCTATCTACTAACAGCACATGGGTTTCAATGTCTGTCCGAGAAATTCCAGGGAGTCACTTGTGCATTCTTTTTGTTTAGGGTTTTGGCAGAATTCCGTTTTTCACTTCTGTCTTCCTTCCAGACTCTTAGTAAGGGTGTTTCTCCAGGTCCTAGATCTCAGGCCCTCTTTTTAGGGGTGGGGGGGGAGGGATGAGTCAGATTGTAGCTTCAGAAAACTGAGCCAGGGAGCTGAGGATCAGCTCTGTCCCTTTGGGCCTAAGTATAAGAGTCAAACCCATGTTTCCTGTGTGGATTGGTTGAGGGGAGGGATAAATGTTATTGAGGTTGGAGATTTAGGAGACTTCCAGAGAAGGGCAGCCTTACCAAGACTTTGGAAGGGGAAACAAATGTCACGAGATGGCAGATATTAGTGAGGGTAGAGTTCGAAGGACTGAGGAACAATCGTTGCCCGCATGGTTCTTTGGAGAAATGGTAGGATGGGGTAGGTATACATCAAGGAAGGTGGAAGGACGGGTGGGAACCCATTGGAAAATACGGGAGAGCTGGGGAAATGGAATATTTGCAGGGATGGGGGCAGAGGAGAGAGGAGAGGAGTTAGGAGCTACTCTTTCTGCAGTCATGGCCTTTGATGTCCCTCCCCCCAACAAGAGCTGTTTTGTGTGATAACCTCCCCCTACAAGTCCTTTGGCTTCTCATGCCAGCCCTTCCACCCCCTTCTAAGGGAGCAGTGATTTCAGTTAAAGGTCAATCAGGACAATGTCCTGGGTGTGTGCTTTTTGTCTCAATCATTTTTCCAGTTTGGTGTGGGGAGGAGACCTGAGACATGGAGTCAATGAGGGAAAGGGTGTGGGCTCTGTTTCCCTTTTTACTCCCAGACCAAGCAAAGTTAACATCAAACACATATGGGAAGGAGCCAGCTTTCCAGGCAGGAAGGGGGCATAGGACCAAGAGAAGGGAGGGGAATTGAAAGTAGTAAGAGTCCCCAGCAACGGTCCCAAGGCCTCAAGGCAGGGGGTGGGCTCTGAGGAGGGTACCCCAGCCCACCAAGTATAGGAAACTCCCAGATTTAGGCTCTTGCGAAGGATTGTTGTTTTTTTTTTTTTACTCTCATGCACTGTTGGCCAAAAGAAACCTTAGAATGTGGACTTTCAGTACTAGAATAGTTCTTAGAACATAGAATGCAATGACTAGAAAGGACCTTAAAACAGAATTTTAAGGTTGGAAGGAAACAACATAGAATGTTAGGGCATAAAGGACTATAGAACATCAATTGTTAGAACTGGGAGGACTTTTGAGACATCGACCATCAGGGCTAGCAGGAGGCTTAGAGCTAGAAGGTATCCTAAAACAGGAATTGTTAGACTTGGAAGGAACCCCAGAATGGAACTTGTTAAAGGTGAAAGAAGGTTGAAAGGGGCCTTAGAACCCAAACTATGAAGACTGAAGGAACTTGAGAACATAGACCGTGAGCTAGAAGGCCCCTTAGAACACAGAATGTGAGGGCTAGAAGGGACCTTAAAATTTAGAAATTGTTAATGCTGGAAAGGTCCTTAGAATATAGAATATAGTCCTTAGATCATAGAATGTGAGCATTGGAGGGGACCTTAGAACGTAGAATGTCAGGGCTGGAGGGGACCTTAGAACATAAAGTATAATAGCTTTAAGTTAATAAGAAGAGACCTTAGAAGAATGTTAGGATTGAACAGTGCTTTAGAACATAGTACTTGAAGGGACCTTGCCAAAACTGGAAGGAACTTTAGTCTAATAATGTAATTTTATAGAGAAGGAAACTATGGTTCAAGGATGGAGGAATGACTTGCTCAGGGTCACACTGTGAGTTGGTGGCAAACTCCAGACTGGAACCCAGTTTTGCCGAGTCCTGGTCCAATGTTCTTTCCACTAGATCAATTTTTCTGGAAAACACAGTATCAAAGAGACCAAGAATGGGAAGTGTAGACCTCAGAAGTCATCTAGCCCAATCCCCTACCCAATGTATATCTCTCTGTTACAAAATCTAGCCTGTGCTTGAATCCCCAGTGATGAGGAACTCATTGTCTTTTGAGGCAAGCCTTTCCAATGTTGGAGAGTTCTAATTGTTAGGAAGTTCTTTCCTATTTCATACTGAACTCCGCCTCCTTATAATTTCCTCCAATTGCTTCCAGTCCAGCACCTGGAGCTAACCAGAATAAATCAAATCCCTCTTTCCCATGACAGCTGTTCAGCTAGTTGAAGTAGATTCTTGATGGAAACTAATCCTAGTTCAACAGCAATGGAGCCCCAGTTGCCAAGAAGTTGAAACTGATGGAAATACTTAGTAGAGCTCTCCCTTGTTGCTGTCAGAGCTTCCTGAGTCATAGGCCATCTGGTCCAACCCCTCGCTGGAGTGTGAATCCTCTCTAAACCATCCCCAACAAATGTTCATCCAACTTCTGCTCACATACTTCCATTGACAGGGAGCTTACTATCTTCCGACACAGTCTGGGGCCCCAGGTAGGGACCTGGGATGTGAAGTCTGGAGATTTGGAGGAAAACTGTGGCCTTTTTTCTTTATAGCTCCAGTCCATGGTCGACCTCCTGGAAGGGACATTATACAGTATGGACCTGATGAAAGTCCATGCCTACATCAACAAAGTGGCCTCTCAGATGAACACACTGGAAGAGGTGAGAGGGTCTGACTCCTCCAAGATGGTAACAGGGTTTGGGACTAATGACTGGAGTAGAAGCAAAATTCGATATTGGTTCAAATATAGGGCACACTCTCCCCCTAAATCTTGTTTGTATGAAATCTGGAGTCTGGGAACCCCAGGCTACCAGGGAAAAAAAGGCTGTGTTCCCTTCCATACCTTCTCCTTTTTAGGGCATCTAGAGCAAAAGGAAGGAACCAGCAACAGCTCCATCTCTACCATTTAGGGGTCCAAACAAATGGAACCAAGCCCTTCCTGGGCCAGCCTTAATCCTTTCAGAACCAAAATGGAGATTTGGTGGAAAGAGGGAGTGCCTTAGAGTCAAGAGACTTAACTTTGCTTCCCTAGCATAGTACCTGGCATGTAAAAAGTGCTTAATAAATGTTTGTTGAGTGAATGAATGAATTCAAATCCCAACTCTGTCATTTCCTAGCTGTGTGACCTTGGACAAGTCACTTCCTTTCCTTGAGCCTCAGTTTCTTCATCTGGAAAATGGTAATAACAATCCTTGCCCTCTCTACCTTATGCTATTTGACTGTTCAAGTGTGACAGAAATATGAGTTGTTCTAACTCCTCTTTGCTTCATTACCCCAAAAGCTGCCTCCAGTCTAGGCAGCCTCCTGACCTAGAGGAAATTATGAGGCAAAGAACATCCGTAGACAGCTCTTCATTAATATTGTTGTTAGAGACTGCCTGGAGGAATGAAAAGAGAACTGAACTTCGAGTCTGGAGTCCTGGTTTATGAGCCTAGATCTAATACTTACTTGCAGCATGACTTTGATATTCCTCTCTATGGGCCTTAATTTCCTCAAACTGGGCTCAATGATGCCTGAACCTCCAGATGTAGCTTTGAGGTTAAGGTGAGAGAAGGTGAATAAAAGGCTCTGTAAATAGTAAACAATAACCAAACCAACAATTATAGCATTTGTATAGGGCTTTGTAAAGCACCCTGTGTATGTGGATTTGTATTACTGGCGTTGAGCCCAAGGCTCGTTTCACAATAGTGAATAGTTAATAAGTATTTGTAAGTGAATGTAATTGAGCCTCATTTTCCTCACCCGTACAGTGTGTGTAGTCAACCTTGCACTCCCCTGGACCATGGAGATGAAAGCACTCTGTAAATATAAAACATGAGCAGTTATTATTGTCTTTTGTCTTTACTGGCTGGGTCTCTAGGCCCCTTCTACCCGTACCTACCCCCCCCCAGAGCTTTGGCTGGGAAAAGGCCCCTGTCTCTTCAGGCTTCCTGCTCCTGCCTCCAGTCTGTGTCCCGCCTTCCTTGTCTCTCAACTCCCTCAGACTCTTCCGGCTTCGGTGTGGATACCTTTCACCTTCCCCTTTGGTGCATCTGAGAGAGAAGCTGGATTTTTCAATAATTAATAATGATTAGCATGCATATTTACATATTTCCCATCTCACATCTCATTTGAGCCTTGAAACAACTCTGTGAAGTATACCAGTATTGCAGGTCTCATTGTCCCCGTTTAGCAGATGAAGAAACTGAAATCCAGAGTGTGGCAAAGCTGGTGGAATGTCCACTTTGGGATTATTAATAGTAATCTTATAATAATAGCTGGGCAGCTAGGTGGTGCAATGGATAGAGCACCAGCCTGGAGTCAGAAAGACTTATATTTGTGAGTTTTAAAGTCCAGCTTTAAACACTTCCTAGCTCTGTGACCCTGGGCAAATCAGTTTTCTCATCTGCAAAATGAGCTGGAGGAGGAAGTGGCAAACCATTGCAGTATCTTAACCAAGAAAACCCCAGAAGGGGTCATGAAGAGTCAGACATGACTCAACAACAACATAGTGCTTTAGAGTTTGCAAAGCACATTACAAATATTTTATTTTATCTTCAAAATAACCCTGGGAGGCAGGTGCTATTATTGTCCCCAATTTACATATGGGGAAACAGAGGCAGATAGATTAAGTCATTTGCTAAGATTTAATAGACTAGTATCTGGGGTAGCATTTGAACTCAGGACCTCTTAATTCCAAGTCTAGTGTTCTATCCACTGCACCGCCCAGCTGCCTCCAGCTAGGTGTTAGGCCCAGCTGAGAACCTAGGCTTCCTGATTATCAAGTCAAGGCCCTTAACTACATTTTTTAGCTATGAAAAAGATCACATGCTGTTATTTAAAAAAAAAGAAGGAAAGAAAAGAGGGGGGAAGGAAGGAGGGAAGGAGAGAAGAAGGAAGGAAGGAAGGAAGGAAGGAAGGAAAGATTTCATATGGTTGAGGGACTATCTAAACTTACATCTTAATAATATAATGTGAACAATAGTGGTGGCTGACACGTGGTACTTTATGAGAGAACTACAGACATAGAACTGAGAGGGAACTTAGGGGTCATCTAGTCTAAAGAGGTCAACCTCTCATTTTTTAGATGAATAAACCAAATTTTAAGGAAGTTAAATGACTTACCCAAGGTCACAAAGATGCTAAGTCACCTAGGAGGAATTTGAACCCAAGTCCTCTGACTCCAAATCTGACGGTCACCCCTCAGCTCCCTGCTGCTTCTGGTGATGCTTCCTAGCCTCCAGCCATGGAATATGATGGTCTACAAAGAATCAACATTGACTTTATCCAGGCTATTAGCAAAAAAAGCACATATTAATGACTGCATGGAATCCTTACAACAACCTCAGGAAGTAGAAACTCAGAAAACCTGGAATGAGTCCAAACTCTGCCACTAACTTGTGTGATCCTGGGCAAATCACTTTGGTACTGCTCACTTAATCTCAGTATCCCCATCTGTAAAGTGAAGAGAATGAAATACTCACTGCTTTTCTCGTACAGTCAGCTGAGGTAGTACATATGTGGAAAGCAGCCCATGGAAATATCATTTTTCCCATTTTTCAGATGAGGAAAATGAGGCTCAGAGCAGTAAAGTGACTTTCCTAAGGTTACATGGCTAGTAAGTGACAAGGTGAAGACTTGAACTCAGGTTTTACAACCTTACTCCAGTTCCTGTGCTTTCTCTACTACACAACAGCCTGCAGTGGTGGACAGGAGGAAAGGGGATGAGGAGTAAAGAGTGGCAGGAGAGATGCTGGGATGTAATGATAATAATTACAATACTACTAGAGAGCTTTGTTGCTGTTGTTTAGTCATGTCCTACTCTTCATGACCCCATCTGGGGTTTTCTTGGCAGAGACACTACAGTGATTTGCCCTTTGCTTCTCCAGTTCATTTTACAGATGAGGAAACCGAGGCAAAAAGAGTTAAGCGACTTGTTCAGGATCACGCAGCTAGTAAGTGTCTGAGGTTGGATTTTAATTCAGATCCTACTGACTCCAGGCACTCTATCCATTGGGTAACCTAGGACTTACAAATATCACTTTCCTCACAATAGTCCTGGGAGAGAGAAAGTATAAGGATTACTATTTCCATTATACAGATAGATAAACTGAGGTTCAGAAGGGAAATGACCTGCCCATGGTCATGCAGCTACTACCAGATCTAGGACTTGAATGCAGAAGTTTCTACCCAAAAGTTCAGTGTTCTTTCTACTAAGCGTTATGCTTCTTGTCCCTGTCCCTTGCAGACCATTAAGACAAACCTTAGCCGGGAGAATGATTTCATGAAAGAAAGCGTGGCCCACTTGACCCACCAGATGAAGCGTTATGAGAACTACTCAGACATCATGATGAGTATTAAGAAGGAGATTTCCAGCCTGGGCTACCAGTTGCTACAGAAGGATGCAGCTGCTGGTCCTGAGAGCAAAGCCCAGGTAAGCAAGAGCCGTGGATTATGTTAATCATGAGAATAGCCCATGTTGCTAGAACACTCTCCAGTTTGCAAGTTGATTCCTTACAAAAACCCCATGAGGTAAGTCATGCAAATGTGTTATTAACCCTGTTTTACAAATGAGGAAACTGAGGAAGTCACTTGCCTAAGTCACACAGCCAGAAAAAAGAATGAGGCATCTCTTCTTAGCTACTCCCCGAACTTTTGGTGCCAGTTAGAGTCTCCACAGGTGACTGACTACTTCTCTCACAAGGTTCTAGGGGTGACTCTGAGGGGTTATGCATCTAGTACCATTGCTCCTGAGCCCCCACCATTCTCTTTCCTATTAACAATCAGGGGCAGCTAGGTGGCGCAGTGGATAAAGTTCTGGCCTTGGAGTCAGGAGAACCCGAGTTCAAATCTGCCCTCAGACACCTGACACTTACTAGCTATATGACCCTGGGCAAGTCACTTAACCCCAATTGCCTAACCACCCCCCCCCCAAAAAAAACAACAAACTCCCTATAGGAGCAGCTAGGTGGTGCAGTGGATAGAGCACCGGCCCTGAAGTCAGGAGGACCTGAGTTCAAATCCAGCCTCAGATCAAACACTTGACACTTATTAGCTGTGTGACCCTGGGTAAGTCATTTAACCCCGATTGCCTAAAAAAAAAATCGACCAAACATGATTAATTAGCTTTAATCAAAAGCATCTACTAGGATGCCATAAGAACAGTTGGTATAAAAGATTGTTCCCCAAAGCACACTCTCTCACAGATTCAGGACCATGGGAAGGAGAAGCTCACATTGAGAGGCCAATGGGAGTCAGGCACACATGGACCGGCTGATCCCTAAGGTACAAAAGTGCCAAAGGGGTGACTCCTAACTTCTGGTGCTTTGTGACTGGAAGTCCTTTCTTTAGTCCATAGCCAGCGTTCATCTTTGGTACAAGGAATCGTGCTCCTCGAAGCTTCCTTCTTTCTCTGGTGCCCATCTTTCCACATCTGCTTTTCCTCAATAGGTCACTCAGTGGGTTGCGTTGTCTCCTACCAGTCCAGTATCTCTGATCCTAGCTGGACACATCGATTGCTACTGCTCCAATCTCTCTAATTAAAATGGTGGGAGGGGAAGAGAAGACTCTTTTCTTCCCCCAACCCCAAGACTGATTCCCTCTCAGGGGCTTGGCTCTGGAACTGGAATCCTCAGCTCCATAATTTGAAATCCTCCACCACTGAACTGGCCTTCTACTGTATGATGCACAGGGGAAGGGAAGGGTATAAACATTTGCACAGTATGTTCTACTGGCCAGGCACAGTGCTAAGTGCTTTACAAATTACAACAATATTGCAAGGTGCTGTTATCCCCATTTTCTGACTCACTGTGACCTCCATTGGGATTTTCTTGGCAAAGATAGTAGAGTGGTTTGCTATTTCCTTTTCCAGCTCACTTTGTAGATGAGCAACTGAGGCAAATGGGTAAGTGACTTGCCCAGGATCACACACCTAGTATGTGTCTAAGATTGGATTTGAATTCAGGAAGGTGAGTCTTCCTGACTCCAGGCCAGGCACTCTATCCACTGTACCACCTAGATGTCCTATGCATATGTGTGTATACGTATATATGTGTGTTGATAGATAGACAGATAGATAGATAGATGAGTCTTCCTGATACAGCAATTTTTGAGATGCTGTTATCCCTATTTACACTTGAGCAAACTAAGGCAAATAGAAATTAAGTGACTTTCCCAGGGTCACACAGCTCGTAAGTATCTGAGGCTGGATTTGAATTCAGGTCTTCTTGACTCCAAGCCCAGAACTCTATCCATTGAGCTGCCTCTGAGCATAGCCTCAGAGACATGTCTGATTCTTTCAGCCATTCACAAGATATTTCCTATGTGGCTTCATCTGCCTTCATCCAATGGCCAAAGGTCTATAATCCTGTCAAGTCGATTAAAAGACTTATTTGCACATTGTGGTAAAGTCTTAGAAAAATTCCTTAACAATTAGTTTGCTCTGTTGGTTGGTTGACTGATTCAGGTTGAAAGACTAGATAAAGAGGACATTTCTCCTTAGGTTGAAATTAGACTAGATGCTTTAACAGGGTTTTTCCAACTCTGGAATTCTGGGATTATTAGTCGTATCATTAATGACAATGATGTATTACATATGAAATGTGGACATTTAAAATAAACATCAAATGAAAGCTACACATTGCCTTGGAAAAAAAAGACAACTGACATGACTGGGAATTGGATTATATATGTAGTATTTGTCATATCACCAAGAGTTTTCGTAGATTGTAAATTGTGGGATCTAAAAACATTGAATATCTGAGTTGGAGTGGACCCTTTAGAAGATCATAGAATGTTAGGAGTGGAATTAGCTTAGGGATAAGCTAGTCCAAATTCTTCCATTTAAAAAAAAATTCTTAATTCAAGTTTTATTTAGGACTTCCTTAAAGGAATGGCAGAGAAGCTTGGTTTCTCCTCTGTGGCAAATGATTTGATAAAAGCCACCCAAAGAATTAATGACATAGCCAGGACTTGAACCCAGATCTTTGGACTCCCAATTGAGTGTGCTTTCTACTGTGATTCTTCCCTGATCTGCTTCAACAATAGATTACATAATGGACTTGGCCAAAAGGGCCCCCATGCTGTTATAGTGAGTTAACACCAGAGTCATCTGAGCAGTAATAAAAATAACATTATTCATCCTCATAATAATAATAGGGAACAAGCTCTCCAAATGCCTATATACTAGAAACTACTCCTAGGAATGGAATAATGAGGTCATGTTGTTCAGTTGTTTGAGTTATATCGGACTCTTCATGACTCCATTTGGGGTTTTCTTGGCAATGATACTGGAATGGTTTGCCATTTCCTTCTCCAGCTCTTTTTTAATAGATGAGGAAATGGAGGCAAAAAGGGTTAAGTGACTTGCCCAGGGTCACATGGCTAGACAGTGTCTGAAGCTGGATTTGAACTGAGGAAGATGGGTCTTCCCAACTCCAGGGTCGGCACTCTATCCACCGTGGCACCTGGCTGCCACCAATGAGGTTATAATAACCAGTAAAAGGTTGAGCTTGGAGAGTGAAAAATTCATAGAATGTCAGACTTAGAAGGAATTTTGGATTATAGAATGTAAGCTGGTGGTGCAGCTAAGTGGCACAGTGGATAAAGTGCCCGGCCCTGGAGTCAGGAGGACCTGAGTTTAAATCTGGCCTCAGACACTTGACACTTACTTGTGTGAACCAGGGCAAGTCACTTAACCCCATTGTTTAGCCAAAAAAAAAAAAAATGCAAGCTGGTATCTAACTTTGAAGTATAGAATGACCTGGAAGGGACATTAGAACATAGAACATAGGATGTTAGAGCTGGAAGAGACTTTAGAGGTCATCTTAAACCAACCCTATAATTTTACAGATAAAGAAACTGAGGGCCAGAGAGAAGTGACTTACCTACGATCATACAGCTAGCAAATTACACAACCAGGTCTCCTGATTTCCACATCCAGTTACTCTTTGTACTCCTCCAGGGACAATGGGAATTGTTACCTGGGCATTGACTTGACAACTAGAAACCTATTCCCCCAATTCTAAACCCCAAATAGCGTCACAGGTGCCCCCCAGCAGGTCTAGGAGTCTTTTTTCCTCTTTCTTTCCTAGGAGACAGCTGGTGGAAAAGGCAGAGAAGCCAGCAAATATTCTGGAGTCAAGAAAAACTTTGGGGACAAGGCTGTCCCAAGGCCTCCCAAAGACAAGCTTCTGAAGGTGGAGAAGGTGAGAAAAGACACTGTGAAGGGCAAAGCCCTGCAGGCCACAGCTAGGCCCCGGGTCCTCCCACACCAGCAAGCAGTAATCCGGGGCATCACCTACTACAAATCCACAAAGCAGGAAGAGGTGGAAGATGCAGCTGGTAAGTATCTTGAGAAGGAGGATTCAGATTTTTCTCTGATACAAGTAACAATAACATTAGGAGACTAGTGAGCTGTCCTTGAATGTTGGAGCTTCTAGGGATGGGGGTGGGGACAGGATGGCAAGGGAAATAAAACATGGAATGTGAGATCATATAACATAGAATGACAGAGTGGAAAGCGAACTTTAGAAAATAGGATGTTAGGGGGCAGCTAGGTGGTGCAATGGATAGAGCACTGGCATGGAGTCAGGAGGACCTGAGTTCAAATCCAGCCTCAGACACTTACTAGCTTTGTGACCCTGGGGAAGTCACTTAACTCCAATAGCCTAAAAAGGAAAAAAAAAAAAAAACAGATAAAGAAAGAAAATAGGATGTTAGAACTGGAAGGGACCTGAGAACATAGAATTTGATCATATATACTACAGAATGTTCAAGAACAGGCCTTAAATTGTCAATGTTTAAACTGAGCCTGTGGTCAAGAGACCAGATAGAATGTCTGAGGATTTCTCTGCTGCTGCTCCTACCACACATAATTCATATGATGGCAGGACTTCCTCAGCATCAGGTGCTCCCTTCTGCCCAGCTCAACCAAGGAAGAGCCACGACCTGGCTCCGTTTCCCCATATTTATTCCTTCCCAGACTTTGCCCAAAAAAAGGCACACAGCAGACAAACAGCTGCAGGAATCTGACTTTGCCAACAAGACCTGTGGGAACCAAGGCTTTCTCTCTGGCAAGCCGCCCAAGACCCATCCACCCTCTCCCTCTTGTGTTGCCGGCTGGCCAGGCCAATGGCAAGGACTCTGAAAAGGGATGCAAGGCCCTAATGTCCCCCTTCCCCTTCTGGCTGGGAGCAGTTCCAGGGCCAGGCCTGATGTGTGAACAGGAAGAAGGCAAGGAAATGCTGATGTGCCCTTGATAGCACATCAAAGGCAGGGGAGGCTAGGGGAAGAACCTGGTCTAGACAAGGTCTGATTCCCCCTTCCCCTCTGTCACCCCAGCACCCCTGGATCCAGACCTTGTTTCTGCTGTAAAATGAAGGGTGAGACTAAGTGATTTCTAAGGTCCCTTTGAGCTTTCACATTCTACATTCCAGCATTTTGTATTCTTGAGGTATAATGGAAAATATTCTGGATTTAGGACTAGCAGACTAAGGTTCCTATCCTGGCTCTGGGGCAAGATACTACAACTCTCAGCCTCAGTTTCCTCTTCAGTTAAATAAGGATAATAATACTTGTATTGTCTCACTCATGTTGTTTTGAGAAAAGTTCTTGGTAAAGTTTAAGGTATTAGCTTGATACACATATGTATGTGTGTATATATGCACATATATACACACATATATATTTAGATATACATATATTTGTTGTTTAGTCATTTCAGTCATGTCCAACTCTTCATGACCCAATTTGAGGGTTTTTTTTGGCAAAGATACTGGAGTGGTTTGCCATTTCTTTAGATAAGGAAACTGAGGCAAACAGTTGACTTTGTGAGGGTCACGTGGCTAGTGTCTAAGGCTAGATTTGAGCGCAGTAAGATAAGTCTTCCTGTGTATGTATATATGTGTACGTAATTTATTGTTCCGATGTCCTTTCCATCACTGAGATTCTATATTCTAACGCTATCCTTCTATCATTCTACATTTTATTCACTTGGTTTAAGGTGAATCACCATAATTCACCCTTGCCTCCCTTCCCAAAGGTGAGCTGGGTACAAGATGGTGACTTTAGAGTGGGAAGACACCTCAGAAGCCATCTAGACAGGGGCATGCTGCTGAACGTTTAGCAACAGTGGTGGGAGGTGGATGGGGAGGAGGGGAATATGTGTACAGGACACACTTTTACGTTTGTCTGCATTATTAACACTTTCTTAAGTCTAGATAATCAACAAAGCAATAAATCAAACCTTGATTGGTAGTGGTTTGCAAGTTTTGATCTCCTAGGTGTAAATGTTCCCGGTGAAAATCACCTATATGTTTCAAGCTGCCTCCAACTGGCCCAACCCCCTCATTTTTTAGTTAAGGAAACTGAAGCTAGAGAAGTTAAGTGGCTTGCCAAGGTCACAAAAGTAATAAATGGGAGAGCTGGTATTTTAATTCAATTATGGGTTTCTAAGAGACAGATTCAACTGATTGTAAACCACTTAATCCCTCTGAGACTCAATTTCCTAACCCATAAAATGGGAATAACATATTATACTATTTTCCTCACAGGGATGTTGTGGGGGGGAAAAGTGCCATGTAGATTTTAAAGTCCTACAGAAATGTTATTATTATCCCTTAGTAGGTATCCAGCTGCTTACAGCTGTGCCTCTGAATTGAAGATTTGCAGAATTGTGGGGGAGAAGTTATAGGTGAGGAATGTGGGGATGGGATAAAAGGGGATGCTGTGGTTAGCTTCATGTGGTGTTTGACCATCACTCTGACAGCCTGGTGGGGAGAAGGGGTTAAGTTAGTACTTAGACGCCAAGATTGGTTTGTTTCTGTGGTTTGGGGCCACAGCCCAGGGATAAAGAGGGATGCTGTGGTCACTTTGTATGTTGTTTGACCCCATCACCGTGACAGCCTGTGGAGAGAAAGGGTAAAAGATTATTGCTTGGAGACCAAGGCTGGTTTGACTCTGTAGGTTTTGGCTACAGCCCAAGGAAAAGTCAGCCAGATTCTAGGCTGATTGGGATTACACTGGGGGTTTGAACTCTGCCATAAATGAATTGCAAAAGGCCCCCCCCCAAACAAAAGAAAGAAAGAAAAGAAAAGAAAATGTGAGGGGACCTCTCCTTTCTAGAACCAGGCTAGTCTTGCAGGTAAGCAAGGATTAAAATTTTTCAAAGCCAAATCAGATGGCTGGAGGAGATAATCCCCAGGGAGAAATTAAGTAGGATAGTGTAGTGGAAGCAACATTGGACTGGTACTCAATTCATGAAGTACAGGATCCAGCCACTTCTGCTATCTAAATTGTCCAATGAAAAGGCTGGATTACATGACCTCTAAAGTCCTTCCTAACTGTAACATTCTATGTTCTTTCCAACCTTAAGATTCTATATTCTAACTTTCTATGTTTTGAGTCTTTTACTGCCCTAACATTCTGTATTCCAGGGTCCATTCCAGAGCTGATATTTTATGTCCCAAAGTCCCTTCCAGTTCTAACATTCTCTGAGTTTGTGAGTCATTGTCCTAAGTGACCCCCTTCATTTTCCCCGTATATTTTTCTGTTACCTGCCCACAGCTATAGGATTGAGAGGCAGGGCCAGTAAGGAGCCTTTGTCCTGCTGCCAAGTTGTCTCAAGCAACCTTTTTAGTGAGAGGAAGTGGATGTCTTGACTCTTAGGGAGAGGGACCAATGTGATTGATGTCTGGTGGCAGGGTCGGGAACAATATTGTCTGCCTTTGAGCCAGGGTACAGAGCAGGTGGCTTTGGCACCTTTAACCCCCATAACAAACAAAGTCAAGGCAACAAAAAGGAAGCATGGAGAGGGAAAGAAGTAGAACAAAAGGGAGAAGAAATGAAGGGGAAGTGGGAGAGTGTAAAGATGGAATCAGGCTCTGTACCCTGAGGATCAGAGAGTGTTAGACCCTAGAACGTAGAATGTCAGAGGCAGAAGGGACCTGAGAGCAGAGGATGTCAGAGCTGGAAGGGACATAAGACTATAACATGGTGAAACATAAAGCCTGGATTATTAGAGCCAGGAGGGACCCTAGAGATCACCTTTCATTTTGCAGATAAGAAAACTGGAACCCAGAGAGAGAAAGTGAGTTGTAAAATGTCACATAAAGTCCATGGTTGAGCCAGGACTAAAACCCAGGTCTCTTCCACAGTTCTTTCTACTCCCATGTTCCTTTAGTCCAAACCAAAATGAAGTACCCCTCTCAGAAAAGATTCAGTTTACCTCAAAGTCAGTATGTTCCAAACAGTCTTGATAACCTTCTCCCAAGGCTGCATCTTCTCTTGACTTCTCGCTTTCTGTCTGGACTCCTATCACTCATCCATCCTCTTGCATTTGAAACCTGTTGGTTATCTACTTTTTTCTTCACCTCTCAAGTCCAATTACTTCCTAAAGCACTTCAGTTCTAATTCCATAACATCTCTCTCTTCCTAGTTGAGGAAAGACTCAGAGATGGGGAAAAGTAGGGCACATTTGGGGCAAAACAAGCAGGTCAGGTGGGTTAGAATGTAGAGTAAACATGAGAGGAATGAGAGGAGGGAATAAGCATTTATATCACACCTACTGTGTCAGGCACTGTGCTAAGCACTTTACAAGTATTATCTCATTTGATTTCCCTCCCCCCCTTCCCCAGAAACTCTGGGAGATAGATACTATTGTTATTCCCATTTTGCAGTTGAGGAAGCTAAGTCAAATAGAGGTTAAATGACTTGCCTGGTTTCAAATAGTTAGTATCTGATGCAAACTTAGGTCTTCCTGACTCCAGGCCCAGTATACCACCTAGCTGTTTCTGTGTACATGAAAGAGAAGGCTGTAACTTGAGGCTGAAAAGGTAGGTATAGGATAGCTTATAGAGAGCCTTGAAATTCAGTCTATAGGCAGGTTTTAACCTCTCTGCTAAGGATTTTTAACCTGTCAGGGACCCTTTTGGCAATCTGGTGAAGCCTATAGACCCCTTCTCAGAATAATTTTTAATGCATAAAATAAAATACATAGGATTACAAGGGAAACCAATTATATTGAAATAAAGATGTAATTGCTTTTTCCCATCCAAGTTCATGGACCATGTGAAATCTATCCAAAGACCCCCAGGTTTCGAACCCCTGTTCTAAGTAATGAGGAACTACTGAAGGTTTTCATGCAAAGGGGAAGGAGACCTTGATCAAAGCATCAGGGGCATTATCCACACCAGTGAGGTCACTCTGGATTGGGGAGAGGAAAGACTGGAGGCAAAGAAAGCAGGGAGGCAGTTACAACAGGCCAGGCAAGAGGGAAGGAGGGCTAGACTTGGGAGGGTGCAGAGGCAATGGAAAAGAGGAAATGCATTCAAGAACTAATCATTGCATTTTGCATTTCTAGAGAGAGCACTTATAAATTTACCGAGTGCTTTCTTCACAGTGGCCCTGTCACTTCAGACTGTAGATTGAGCGTTGTAAAGGACCCTGTAGAGGATGTCTAGCCCATCTCCCTCATTTAACAGATGTGGAAACCGAGGCTAAGAGAAGTGTGATTCCCTAGACCACACAGGCAGTAAGTGGAGTAACTGGGACCTGAGTGGAGGTTGCCTGATTCCAGACGGGGAGTGTTTTCCACTGACTCACATGCAGTACAAGTGTGAGGAGCCTCCCACATTGGACGAAGAACCCAGGACTCGGAGGGCTGATGTGATTGGCCCACGATTACCCCCCACAGGGCAGAAACAGCACTTTCTTCCTGCAAGTCCAGCACTTTTTCACTATGATGATCAACATCTAGGGCTAGGCTATATGACCCTGGTCAAGTCTCTTCACCTTTCATGAAATGTTAAAGTTGAAGGAGCCTTAATGGACTTTATTAGTCCAGGCTTCTTATTTTATACCTGAGGAGCATGAGGCTCCACCAAGGAAACAGATTTACCTGTCCAACCCAATCCAATCCAGGAAGCATTTATTAAGCACCAGCTATGTGCAAAGCACTGTCCTAGGTGCCAGGAACACAGAGACGATGGATGAAACAATCTTTACTCTTGTGGAGTTGGCATTCTACCGAAAATCTACAGTTTGTAAAGAGAGAACTACGTATGATTGTTTGAGGAAGACAAAGGCACTTGTAGGAGTAAGAGATCAAGAAAGGCTTCCTGTAGGAGGTGGCACATTAACTGAACCTTCAAGGGAGTCAGGTGACATAGGTCATTAGTAACAGGCAGAAGATCTGAACCCAGGACTTCTGGTCCCCTATCAAATGCTCTTTCCATAATGACGGGCTGGCTCCCCTAATTGGTGTTGCTTTCTTTAGAAACATGGTCTTTGGGGAAGGGGACAGCCTCAGCCCAGTTAAAAAACAAAAACCAAAACCCCCACCTGCTGATAAGGGGCCCACAGGCTGCTTGAGATATGTGCTCTCAGAATACTTAATGGCCCCAGGCGGGCTTCAAACATCAGGAGGCTGCCATGACAAACAAGGCTGGAGGAATCCGTTTCCTTCCTGTAGATGTTTCTGTGGCCTCCCTCTATCAGAAGAGGGTGGCTGGGGAGAGAGGGCTCCGGCACAAGGCCTAGTTTGTTTCCTGCCTCCCTCGCCTGCCCTGCCAAGGGCTGAGTGAATCTGCATGTCTAGCCCCAGGGTATCTCCACCTTCCCACAGTTTGTAATATGCTCAGGAGGAATTCAGAAGAGAATGAGAGGCAGGGGTGGAGAAAGAGGAAGGGTGGAAGAGAAAAAGAGGGTGGGCCAACCCCTCCATTCCCCCAAGGACTTGGACCTCCATGCATCCAGAGCTTCTTCTCCTGAGGAAAGGGTCTAGGACAAGGGTGGGGAACTTGCAGCCTCAAGGCCACATGTGGCCCTCTAGGTGCTCAAGTTCGGGCCCTTTGACTGAATCCAAACTTGATCCCCTTCATAAAAGGATTTGTCTGTAAAACTTGGACTCAGTCATCCCAAGACCTAGAAGGCCACATGTGGCTTTGAGGGCACAGGTTCCCCACCCCTGGTCTACAAGTTCAAAGTCCTGGGTTTGAATCATTGCTTACTAGTTGTGAGACGTTGGGCAGGTCATTTGATTTCTCTGCAAAGCGAAGGGATTGTATTATATCACTTCTGTTTAAACTACCTATATTATGGTGCCTTTGTGAGGATCAAATGATACCATATTCCAAAGTGCTTGACAGTAGTAAATGACTCTATAAGTGTGAGTTATTATTATTGTTATTATTTTCTTACCTCTGCCTCATAGAATGCCTTATTGCCTTCGGGACTCAACTCAAGCAGTACCTTTTACATGAAGCCTTTCCTGATCTCCCCTCAACTTCTAACACCTTAAATCGCATTTATTTGGTATTTATTCTAACTATACTTATATGTGTACAAGTTGCCTCCCCCTTTCAAAACAATGTAAGACCCTTGAGAACAGCAACTTTTTTTGGGGGGGAAGGCAATTGGTGTTAAGTGACTTGCTATGGGTCACACAGCTAACAAGTGTCTGAGGCGGGATTTGAACTTAGGTCCTACTGAGTCCAGGCTAGTGCTCTACCCATTGGAGAACAGGATCTATTTAGTTTTTGTCTTATTATCTGCCTAGTACAGTGCCTGGCATATAGAAGATAATTTGACATATGTTTATTGGTTGATTATTATTGTTATAATTCATAGAAAACACCCTCAAGGGAGTAACGGGACTGGAGCAGCAGGAAATCAAGCTAGAAGGAAGACACCTGGAACCCAACTCTGATGAGCAGGAGGAAGTGGGGGCTACAGATGAAGGAGACCCCACCCCTGGTCCTCCCACAAGCACTACCCCTCTTCCCACCACCATGGTTCCAACCACCACCACCACCACCACTACTACCAACAATCCTCTGGTCACCATACTGTCCATTGGATACAATGCTGCAGGCCCCAATGGGTCAGAAAGTCCTAACCAAGGTATGATATCAGGCTTTAAAATGTCAGGGACAATGGAATGAGCACTGGGATCTGGGTTCTAGTCCTACTTCTGCCATGAGTGATATGAGTGACAGGAAAGTCACTTAATCTCTTTGTGACTTATGTTCCTCTTCTGTAAATGAGGGAGCCAAAGCACATCATCTCTGAGGCTATTTGAGAGCTAGCACTCTTTTTCTCTAAGATTCTGTGCCCAAGGTCCCTTCTAGTTCTAATATTCTAGATCTCTTGTATCTCAAACACAGGGGCTGTGTCCACTCTCATCCGAGTTGAACTAGAGGACCTCCAAGACACATTATTATATCATATTATATCATATAGTATTATATCATATCATATCATATCATATCATACCATATCATATCATATTGTTATATTATATTTATTATATTATATTATATTTATTATATTATATCAGATCATAATGGGGGGTAGGTATTTGGGAGTAACATCGCACCAACTTTCTTACAGCTCTAACATTTTACATTCTCTGTTGGCTATTCCATGTACTAAGTTCCCTCCCAGATCTAACATTCTATGTTCTAAGATCCTTTCAAGCCAGGGGTGTGCTGGAGCCAGCTCCAACTGATTCACAAGAGTCTATGGTTAAATTTTCAGTGTGAGCGTTTCCACCTTAGAAATCAGCAAACACTACAATTCAGTGTTTGATTTATTGTTTTGTTGACTATCTAGACTTTAAGAAGTGATAGAGAAAATGTTAATAATGCAGATTAAACTTAAAAGTGTGTTGTATGTATTTTTTTCTTCTCCTAGAGAGCCAGTTGTTAAACATTCACTAACACACCCTGGACCCCAGCTCTAACATCTTACATTCTTTGCCCTAATATTCTATATTCTAAGCCCTCACAGATCTAACTTTCTACAAATCTATGATCATCACTAAAAACTGCATTATGCAACATTTGTACAGAGCTATTATTCTTCACACACTATTATATGGTCTCATTTTTCTCCATTCATCTATTCAGTAAGCATTTATTAAGAACCAATGTTGTGAAAGGCATGGCGCTAAGCAATGGCATCCCTGCTCTCAAACAACTTACATTCAACAAGGGGGAAACAACATATATACAGATAAAAAACAATACAAAATATATTAAAGATGAAATAATTTGGCAGGCCCAGGGTACTTGCTGGCATGATCAATATGACGTAAGGTGGGAAGTGGCCTTTGTGTTGAGTCTTGAAGGAAGTTCAGGAGTCTAAGAGGCAAAGATTAAAAGGGAGAGCATTCCAGGTATGGAAAAGAGCCTTTGCAGAGGCACGGAGATGTGATGTCATATGCAGGAAATAGTAAAGAGGCCAGTTTGGCTGGAATGTAGAATATATGCGGGGGAGGGATATGGAGTCAGTCGGAGAAGAGAAGTCAGAAACATATTGTAGAGGGCTTCAAATGCTCAACAGAGAAGTTGGTACTTATGCTCGAGGTAATAGGGAATCACTGAAGTTTATTGAGGAGAGGAGTGACACGGTCAGAATTTTGCTTTGGTCATAATTTGGCAGCTATGTGGCAGATGTATTTGGAGTGGAGACTTTCAGAAAGAAAGCAGTCAGGACACTATTGCAGCAGTCCAGGTGAGGAGTGAAGGGGCCCTGAAGTAAGTGGAAGACTTGACAAAACTTGGCAACTGATGGCATATGGGGTGAGGGAGACAGAGTTGCTAAGGATAACCCTGAGGTTGTAAACCTGAGTGACCAGAAGGTTGGTGGTGCCCTTAAGAGAAATGAGGAAATTCAGGTAAAGGCTGGGTTTGGAGTGAAAGGCAGTGCTGATTTTGAGATGCCTAAAGGACATCCTCTTGGGAAGGTCCAATAGGCAGTCAGTGATGTGGGATGGAGCTCAGGAAGGAGACCAGGGCTAGAGAGAAAAACCTGGGAGTTGTCTGTGTAAAGATGGTAACTGATCCCAGGAGAGGTTATAAATAAGGTCATCAAGAAAGAATGTAGAGGGGCAGCTAGGTGGCACAGTGGATAGAGCACTGGCCCTGAAGTCAGGAGGACCTGAGTTCAAATCTGGCCTCAGACCAAACACTTGACACTTAATAGCTGTGTGACCCTGGGCAAGTCACTTAACCCCAATTGTCTAAAAAACAAAACAAAACAAAACAAAAAGAAAGAATGTAGAATGAGAGAAGAGGGGACCCAGGACAGACAGAGCCTTGGAGTACATCCACAGTTAAAGTGTGGGATGTGAATGAAAACAACAATTTGAAAGTCATTATCAAGCACCTCTTCTCTGTAATTTGTTTTGTCATTGCATATTAGGCAGTGAAGTCTGGAGAAGTGCCTTGCTAAGTCACACAGGTTGTGAGAGCCCTGGGACGTGCAATATATGGATTTATCTAATACTTAGATGATAGAACACACAATAACAATAATGCAGAATAGAATGTGGATAAGAGAATAAGAGAAGGGCTAAGTGTAATGTGAGGTTCAGGGAAAGAAATAGCATTTGTGACTAAGGAGGATGTGAGAGAAGGCTTCCTAGAAGTGACATTTTGTCTAGGCCTTTTAGACAAGAATAGCATCTGCAGTTCTTGGAGACCTTCAAGAACAGGTGTGACTATTTCCTTTGAGCTGGGGGAGAGGATGATGCTGTCCAAAGGCAGGAGAAAGGCTGAGATGATCTGGGTTTACTTGGGATCGTTGAATTTAGAGCTGGAAATGACCATAGAGAGCATCTAGTCTGACCTGTTCATTTTACAAAGGAGGAAACTGAGGCTTATAGTGGCTTGCCCAAGGTCACATTGGTAGCAGGTCCTTTGACTTTTACTTTTGTGATTTGGAAGCTTCATTAATGTATCTCCTTTCTTCCTACAGTCAAAGAAGTGGGGTGTGAAGGCACCATCAAGTCTGTTGACCCCCCTATGAAGCAGCACAGCTATGGGCGGAATGAGGGGGCTTGGATGAAGGACCCTACAGCCCGGGATGACAAGATCTATGTCACCAACTACTACTATGGGAATAGTCTGGTGGAGTTCCGTAACCTGGACAATTTCCAACAAGGTCAGGAATCGTAGGGAAATTCGTGGAGAGGGGCTGGGTCAAAAAGTGGAAACCTTGGCCTTCCACTGGGTACATGGCAAGGACCAATTCTTCAGAACCAGATTTCACAAGGATGTGAGGAGTATTTATGGAGGCCCATGGGACATATGATCTAGGGAAACCTGATAGTCTGTTTGGGAAGGGAATAGTCCCTTCCCTTGACCTGACTGCTAGTAGTTAGGCATCTTTCCCCCGTCCCTGAAGTTTCCTCTCCTGTTCCATGTCTTTATGTTTATGAATTATAAAATAGTAGAATTCCAAGGGACCTCAAAATATGGAATATTAGAATATAGCAAATAGAATGTTAGGAGTGGCAGGGACCTTAGTACACAGAATGTTATGATATAAAACCCAGAATGTCAAACCTGGAATGAGAGACCCCAAAGCAGAGACTGATAGAAGAATCCCAGCATCTCAGAATCCATAAGGGACCTTAGAAGTCAATTAGTCCAACTCAATACTTGGTCCATTTTGGGAAGTGCACCCTATTCTGCCAGGGAAGCAGTTTGGTTATAGTGGAGAGAACACTTGAGAATAGATTTTGTTAGACATAGTAACAGCACACTATGATGAAAAGAGCAATGTAGTAGTATTTGTACAACTCAAATTTTATTCCAGGTTCTGTCAAAATCTTGCTCTCTGGGCCTCAGTTTTATACATGTAAAATGAAGGCATGGACCTAAATGATATCTAATGTCCCTTCTGGGGGTAGCTAGGTGGTGCAGGGGATAAAGCAGTAGGCTTGGAATCAGGAAGACTCATCTTTTTGAGTTCATATCTGGCCTCAGACACTAGCTATGTGACCCTAGACAAATCACTTAGGTCCTGTTGGCCTCAGTTTCCTCATCTGTAAAATGAACTGGAGAAGGAACTGGCAAACCACTCTAGTATCTTTGCCAGGAAAACCCCAAATGGGGTCATGGATGGTTGGACAAGACTGAAATGATTGAACAACAACGTAAATGTCCCTTCCAGTCCCACCATTCCATGTTCTGAGATCTCTGATTCTAGCTCTCCTGTCTGGGATGGGGGCCTGGGTGCCAGCAAGGAAAATCTGCCCTCATTTTTTAATTAGGAAAGATGACCTATATAAATGGGCCAAAAGGGGCCCCTGAGCATCAGGCTACAAGAGGTCAAGTAGCTGCAGGGGGCAAGGAGGAGAGAGCTGGAATGTGCCTAATGCAGTCCATGTGTTTAAACAAGATAAAAGATCAGTGGGTGCTTTTCATGAGCTCAGGAGCTGAGAACCCTCCAGGATTTCCTGAGGTTGGATTGGTGCCCAGCAGAAACAGGACAGTGTTGGAACCTGAATGCAGGCTTACATAATCAAAGAGAAGATGCCGGAAATGGTTGGTTTTCATTGACATGGAAATGACATGCCAGAGGTTCAGAACCTGGGAGAAATATCTGGGGCTGCCTCCACCTTTGTCACCCTTCTGTGCTCTCTCCTTCCTGTTCCTTAAACCATAAGATGTTGTGGTTGGAAGGGAACTTAGAACAGGGAATGTTAGAGTTGGAAGAGACTTGGTACAATGGAGAGAACCCTGAATTTGGAGTCAGAAGACCCTGGTTCAGATCCTGGGTCTGCCATTTGCCACCTGTATGACTTCAAGCAAGTCATACTAACTTCTTGGGCCTTCATTTCCTTATCTTTAAAAGAATGAGCTGGACTACATAGCTGGGGTTCTTTTCTAGTTCTAATTCCTAGGACCCTACAACCTTGGGCAAGGCACTAGAGTATAACTGGAAGGAATCTTAGGAGCCATTTATTATGCCCTCTTCGAGGATGCTGAAGACCAAGTAGGTTAGATAACTTGCCCAGAGTTGAACAAGTGGTAGGCTTCAGAGGCAGGATTCGAACCCAGATCCTTTAACTCCAAAGCCAGTGCTTTCATCTCTCTACACCACGTTACCTCCACTGAACCCATTGAGTCTTTTTTTTCCTTATCTGTAAAAAGATTGTTCTGAGGTCCCTTTCAGCTCCATTCTCTTATGATTTTGCTGGGCTAGGTCCAAGAGCCCTGAAACATTTTTGGTGTGGGGGTCATTAACTGGACCTTCTAATCTCTCCCACTGTCCCTGCAGGCCGCTGGAGTAACATGTATAAACTTCCGTATAACTGGATTGGGACGGGCCACGTGGTGTTCCAGGGTGCTTTCTATTACAACCGCGCCTTCACCAAAAATATCATCAAATACGATCTCCGGCAGCGCTATGTGGCAGCCTGGACCCTGCTCCCAGATGTGGTATATGAGGACACTACCCCATGGAAGTGGCGAGGCCACTCTGACATTGACTTTGCTGTGGATGAGAGTGGCCTATGGGTCATTTACCCGTCAGTGGACGAGGGCGGCTTCTCCCAGCAGGAGGTGATTGTGCTGAGCCGGCTGGACCCTGGTGACCTGTCTGTGAGGCGGGAGACCACCTGGAAAACCCGACTGAGGCGCAACTCCTACGGGAATTGCTTTCTAGTCTGCGGGATCCTGTATGCAGTGGATGTCTACAACCAAAGGGAAGGGCAGATCTCCTATGCCTTCGACACACACACCAACACTGATGCCTACCCCAAGCTGCCGTTCCTCAATGAGCACTCTTTCACCACCCAGATTGACTACAATCCCAAGGAGAGGGTCCTCTATGCCTGGGACAATGGCCACCAGGTTACCTACACTCTCCATTTTGTGGTCTGAGAGAAGTCGGGGTCCTCTCTCCCACCACAGTGGGAAGCACTTTTTGACCACCACCACCACCACCACCACCCCCGAAGGCATAAAGGAGGAGGCCACAGGTGAACAGTGCTCCCCTCTGAGATTACTCATGATAGCCCCCATGCTCACAGAGCACGGGTGTATTGGGAACATTTCTGGGGTGGCCCAGACTGGAGTGGTGTTACTGGAGGCAGGGAGAGAGAGACAGAGCAGAGAGAGGGGCATACTTTATAGAAGACTTGGAATAGGCTTTACCTATCCCTAAATGCTTTCTCGAGCTAGACCCCCATCCTCTCTCCCTCCTTTCCTCTTTCTCCCTTCTACTGTCTCTTCATTCTTGAAATAAAATTCAATTGCCCTTGTGTTCCCAGGGGACTTCTTGCAGCCAGAACCAGAAGACAGGCCACTGTAGCACGGAGAATGAGAGAATCCTAGAACCTCTGGGTTGAAAGGAACCTTTGAGGTCATCTAATCCAAACTGACCCTTTACTGAGAGGCCTCTGAGGACTGAAATATTTTGCCCTCTTTAATAGAAATCGGGGTCAACATAATTTCCTACCAGAATAAATGCATATGACTATATAATATAGAAAGATTACATATATAACACAGTACTTCAAAGACCTGAGATGCTCTTGGTATGGCTGCTCTTTCTCCCAGTGCAGGTTCTAACTAGCACCAGGCCCCCACCCCCAAGTGAGTGGTTTCATGGGTTTCTGGAGCCAAAAAAATTCATCCCCTGGTGGCCATCCTTCAATGGAGGAGCCCTCTGCACTTTGCTAGGCTGGCTGGTCTCCGTGTCACTACTAGAGCATGGCTTCACTGGCATGGCCTAGGAGAACCAGGGGTCCCCTCTAGACCGTGAGGATGTATCAGTGGGAAAAATATCAGTGAGGTTACAACTATATATATGTATATGTTTGTGTGTACCAAATACATGTATGTATATATACACATGTATATGCATGATATACATATGTGTGTCTGTTTTTATATACATACATGTACACATATACCTATATGTGCATGTGTGTGTACATAGCTTAATGGCAAAACAGAGGTAATGAGAAAGCACTCTTGGTTTGTCTTTTTCTCCCTGTTTGTCTGTCCAAGAAACAGTCATTTCCCTGGGTTTAATTTAATTTAATTTAGTGCAGTATAGCCGAGTAGAAAGAGCGCTACTTATGGAATAAAAAAAGCCTAAGTCTCACAAATGGCTCTGATACTTGATCCGTGAAAGACCTTGGGCAAATCAGGTCCCCTCTCCTCTCTTGGGGCCTCCATTTCCTCTTCTGTAAAACAAAAGAGTTGAACTGGAGAACCTCTAAGTCTTGTCCTGGCTCTAAATCTATGATCTATTGAACTGAGAAGAAAGGTGTGGACTAGGTGCAAGGGGGATCTGTTCTTGCCTCAGCTGGGGGTCCTGGGTTCAAATCCTGACTTTGCGAGTGACTGCCAGTGCCCGCTTGGACAAATCCCTTCATGTCTGCCAGCTTCAGTTTCCTTCTTTGTGAAAATAAGGGAATCAGATTAGATGACCTCTCAAGTCCCTTCCAACTTTAAATCCTGTGGTCCTACGGACTTATTCCAGTTCAACAAATGTTAAGTGTCTTCTGTATGCAAGAGAGCCCTGGTTTAGGGGACATTTTCCGTTGCTTGGTAAACCTGGGCTGTATTTAGCCTCAGGCCTCTTCAGGCTGCTCTGATCCAAATTCAGGCCCGTGGCTTCCTCATCTCTTGGGATGCTGTTGTACACTGTCCGACACACATTCCATCCCTCCACAGTCACCCACGAGCCGGCCTGAAATCAAATACCAAGAAAACATGAGAACTTGTTCCAAGGTCCTCTCCCTTTCTTCTACACTGATTTTTCTTTTGTAATTCATAAATGTTGTCATCTATTTCTGCAGTTGGGGCCCAAGAATGCTGTAAGTGCCTGTGTGCCAGGAAATGTTGGGAGGGGAGCACTGTTTCCATCAGGTCGTCCACCTCCTCTCCCACCCCCCCCCACAGTTCTGGCCCAGCCTGAGGCTCCCTCCCACTGCAGAAATGCTTGCTTTGGCCAAATGCCTGATATCTTTGCCCTCCACCCCACTCCCCACCCCCACTCCCATATTGGTATCATGCAATAGATGATCTTGGCAGCTTTCACAGTATCCCCAAACTGAGGTTCCCAGAGTGCACCTGCTAAAGGCGTATGACCTTTAACAAGTCATTTCTCTAGGCCCCAGTTTCCTCATCTGTAAAATAAGGGATTTAGACTATGTGATCTCTAAGCTCCCTTCTAGTTCTGAATCCTATCACAATGGGCATTTTAAACATGCTTCCTACATACTCAGGGAAACTTTCATCAGACTAATCACTTGTCCCAAACCATACTGCGAATCACCACCTTTGCTATTTGCCAGGCTATGGAATTCAGTATTGTTCTAAATATAGGCTGACCATTCCCCAAATACAGACTACATTCTTAAAATCAGATATTTTTGGAAGAAGAAAGAGCAATGAACAGTGGGTAGAAGTTATGGAAACAGCTCAACAGAAGGAAAACCTCTTCCCAGTTAGAAATAGCTAAGAGTGGAACGGGCTGCTTTTATGAGGTCGTAAGGGCCTCATTGCTAGAGGGCTTCGGGTAAAGGCCAGTCGTCAGAGATACAGGACAAGGGATTCCTGCTCAGGTACCTGTTGGACCAGGTGACGTGCAAGGACCCTTCCAGCTCTGAAATTCTGTAATTTGATAGAGGAGCTTGATAGAGCACTGGATTCTAGGTTAAAGAAGTCCACTTTGCTTCCTGGCTCTGCTACTTGTCCCTGTGTGACCTTGGGCAAATCATTTGACCTCTTTGGGCCTCAGGTTCCTCCTCTGTCAAATAAGGGGGATATCTAAGGTCCCTTGCAGCTCTAAGGTTCTGTGATTCTTAGAAAAACAACCTACGGACTTAAGCTGAACAATGGTACCCATTATGGGCTGAACTGGGAGTAGTTTCGAAGGGGAGGATGAGAATAGTATGGCCTATACTCAGACCAGTATTGTGCGTGCAAAGAGCAGCTTCTTCCATCCTTCCTTTTGAACTCCCACCCTAGTTCTGCTGGATCCAGTCCAAACTATCAGCATTGGGACATCCTATGTAATTTGTATCTTGATGGCTGGGGGCCCAGACAGCAGGAGTCCTGAAATCTTCTAGCCTGGGAGGAGCTTTGTATCTGGTTTGTGGCTGGCAAAGGCTTTCCCAAGGAGAGAGGAGACCTGTTACTGACCAGAGACAGCTAGGGGTTGTGAGAAAGAAAAAAATCAGGGAAGGTTGTGAGGAAGAAGGGACCAGGCTTTTCTGAAAGCCTACAAGCCCTAAAGGCTTTCCTTCAATGGGAGAAGCACAGTCAGGTCTGAATGAAGCCATGGAGTGGGGAGGGCAAACAGTCTTGGATTGGACATGGAGGTACCTGAATTTGAGTGCTGAGGCTGCTAGTAATTCACCATGTAACCTTGAACAAACCCTAACCTCCTAATTTTTTGTCCTCTTCAATTGGAGGATTAGATCATCTTTAAAGTCCTTTTCAATTTTAATATTTTGTTTTATGATCCAGTGTTACATGTTCTAATAATCTATCTTCTAAGGTTCCTTCTAGTTATCATGTTCTATGTTCTAGGACAGGGGTGGGGAACCTGAGGCATGGAGGCCACATGTGGCCCTCAAGGTACTCAAATGCATCCCTTTGACTGAATCCAAACTTCACAGAACAAATCCCCTTAATAAAAGGATTTGTTCTATAAAACTTAGACTCAGTCAAAAGGATGCATCCGAGGACCTAGAGGGCCACATGTGGCCTTGAAGTGGCAGGTTCCCCACCCCTGTATCTAGGAGCTCTAACATGCTGATGTGAAATCTTGGCATGAAATCTGTCTTACATGTCTGCCTCTCTGCACTCGCATAGCTACTGCTCTAGTTCAGGCCCTAATCATCTCTTGCCTGGAGAATTGCAATAATTTATTATTCCTCCTTGCCTTAACTCTCTCTCCAGTGCAATCTATCCTCTACCCAGCCACCAAAAGTGGTTTTCCTAAAGCTCAAATCTGGCCTTGTCGTCCGTCCCCCAAACCCCCCCCTTCCCTTACCCCGCAACAAACTCCAGTGATTCCCTATTAGCACAAGGAGGAAATATAAATTACACTAAGTTACATTTGGGCATCCAGGTGGTGCAGTGGTTAGAGTAGTGGGCCTGGAGTCAGGAAAACCTGAGTTCAAATCCAGCCTCAGACACTTACTAACTGTGGGACCCTGGGCAAGTCACTTAATCCTGTTTGGCTCAGTTTCCTCATCTATTAAATGAGATAGAGAAGGAAACGGCAAACCACTCCAGGATCTTTGCCAAGAAAACCTCAAATGGGAGTTGAAAAGTCAGACATGACTCAACAACAAAATTTGCATTTACAGCTCTTCATAACCTGGCCCTTCCTACCTTTGCAGTCATCTTATACTCACCTCTGTGCTCCTTACAATGAATGCACACTGGCTTGCTTGCTTTTCCTTGCTCACAACACTCCATCTCTGTGGCTCTCATCTGCCTGGAATGCTGTCTCTCACTGCTGCTTACTAGCTTCCATAAAGACTCAGCTCAGATTGGACTGTCTGCCAGAGGCCTTTCCTGGCCCCCTCAGCGGCTCGTGCCTTCCCCTCTGAGATTACCTTCCATCTACACTGTATAGACCTTGTACATATCTAGTTATTGTCACATCTCCCCCTTTAGAATATATGTTCCTTGAGGGCAGGGACTTGTTTTGCCTGGCATGTAGTAAGTGCTTAATAAATGCTTCTTGACTGACTGACTGGCATGCTACAATTCTGTCTTCTAGGTCCCATCCATCCCTGACATTCTATATATATTCAGAGGTCATTCCAGCTCTAATACCGTTCGTTCTAAGGACCCCATTAGCTCCTTCCATTCTCAAGGCAACATCCATCCCAGTGGTTAGGGCCCTTGATACCAGTGGGCTCAGGATAGTCAGGCATGGTTCGTGCCCCTGACAAGACCCCAACCCCAGTGCTTGTTGTGAAGGAGTGTGTATAGCCATTCTTAACCTGCCTCTCAGATAGGCAAAAGTATTTCCTACAATTTCCTTTACAGTATGGCCTTCTTTTAGGAATCTCTTCATGGCCTTATCTTCCTCCCACCTGACTCTCTCCAGGAAGGTGTGAACTTTGTGGTACCCTCCCTCTTCCAATCCTTCAGGAGACCCATTTTAACATCTGTCTGAAGATGGGTCTTCTTCTCCCAATCTGTAAGCACATTTCCTTGTGAATACAGCTTCTCATATAGAGAATAGTTAAGAGTATAGCCAGATATCACAGAATTATTGACTCTGGGATCAGGAGGGAGTTGTATTTACATACAGTCATCAAAAAAACTTTAGAGGCGGAAGAGACCATGAGTGTCTGCTTTGGGGGTTGGAGGACCTAGATTCAAATCCTGACTTTTCTATCCTGCCAATATGACCTGAGACAATGCCCTTAATTTCTCTTGACCTCAGTTTCTCTCTATAAAATGAGACGATTGGCTACTTGATCTCTCAGGTCCCTTCTAGCTCTGACATTCTATGATAACAAATCCCATTTCTATAGTGCCTTAAGGTTGATAAATTATCTTTTTTTGATAAATCATTTTCTTAACAACAACCATGTGAGTTATGCAGGGCTAGGATTATTACCCTGTTTCCCATGACAGTATCAAAAAGTCCCTCACTGGAAGGAGGTGGCCCAATGCCATCGCTCATTTAGTCTGAAGGGCCCATCCCGGTATCATTATTTATGGACACAGGGGTAAGCTGTAAAGCCCTATCTGCTACATTCAGGGCTGTTCTGAGGGTCTTTAAGGAGAGGGGAAGAAATGGGTTCCACTCCATCATGTGTCAATACGTGGGTTTCAGAATTGGCTCCTTCAGTCCCTGTAGTCCAAGTGTTGTCAAACTAAGTCCTGCATATTTGCCCTACTGTCTATTTCTGTCCTGCTATGAGCTAAGGATGGTTTGGACATTTAAAAATAATGTCTCATTGTATTTAAAGTAAAAATGGGCCTTGGCATCTGCCAAACCCAACTCCAACCCAAACTTCTCCTGTACCCCTTGTGAAGGCCTAACTGAGAACAGTTTCACCTCATAAAGCAAGGTATACAAATGTGCATCCTGTAGAATCAGCCATGCATCCACATTGGTTGGCAACTTTTTTTTCAAACATGTAACAAGTCTTTGAAATAAAAGAAAACTATGATCCCAAATAAAGGATTGCTTCATTTCAAATAAATATTATTTGAAGATTAGGACAAAGAATTCTGGGGAGTAAAATCTATCCCAACCCTATGATTCAGCTTCAATTGTCTGTGTGATAATTATGTCATCTTCCACTAGTATTGATGCAGTAGAAAGAGTACTGATCCAGGGGTCACAGATTTGTTCAGTCGTTTTTCAGGTGTGTCTGACTTTTCGTGGCCCTATTTGGGGTTTTCTGAGCAAAGATGCAGGAGTGGTTTGTCATTTCCTTCTCCAGCTCATTTGACAGATGAGAAAACTGAGGCAAACAATTGTAAGTTACTTGCCCCGGGGTCACACAGCTAGGAAATGTCAGAGGCCAGATTTGAACTCAGAAGATGAGTCTTTCTGACTCCAGGCCTGGTACTCTACCCACTGCCCTACTTAGAGGACCTAGATTCAAAGCCTGGCTCTTACACTCACTACCTACATGACCTGGGGCACACCTCTCTGGACCCCAGAGTCCTCATCTATCAAATGAGGGGGGTTGGGCTAGATAGCCCAGATGGCTCTGGGGTCCCTTCCAGCTCTAAATCTGTGATACTGTGACCCTCATTGTGGCATGGAGATGATACTGAGTTCTCAACAGCAATCCAGGTTCTGGCCAGGCTTGTTAAACCGGAGAGTCTTCCAAGGACCTGCCCAGTTTGAGATCCAACCACCATCAACTACAGGGAAGCTTATCTCCAGGTGATAAATTTTCTTGGCCACAAGAACTCCGGAAGAATTATCTTGCTTGGCGTAGTGGAAAAGGACACTGAATTTGAAATCAGAAGACCTGAGTCTGGGTCTTAGCTCTGTCACTTATGAACAATCATAGCCTTGGGAAAGTCACCTCTTGGCATCTCTAAAGCCTCTGTTTCACCACCTGATCAGGAGGAAAATAAACTGTGCCCTCCCAAGGGTGGGTTATAAGGCACAAATGAGATCATGCGTATAAAGTGCTTTGTAAATGCTAAAGGCAATAGAAACACCAGTTATTATTACTAAGGCATGGGGGAAAGCAGAGGAAATCTCAGCTCTTTTGAAGTTTTGAAGTCATTTTCCCACAGTGAAAGTGGCGTTTGTTTTGCTGACCCTCTGGTTTATTTTACAAGACTCTGTGTCCCATGATGTCACAACTTAACCATGTGAGAGGATTTACTATTTAAAAAAAAAGGTCATAAAAATGAGACTTCAAACTAGCTGCATTTGGAGAATAAAGATACAACAACATAGGATCAATTTAAACAGCAGGACTGGAATTTAAGAATACCTTGAAGGGGGCAGTGGATTTTTTTTTAATCCATAAGGAAAAGAAATCAGAGATAGTAAGAGGAACATTTTTATTTCAGAGTAAAATTATAATTTCTGCTTGCAATTATTTTGATTTGAGGTGCATTTGCACAGAGAGGAGAAATTATAATAAAATGACCAAAAAATTGTGCCTCAGTTTATACACCTGCTCCTTCTAGTGTAAAATAAAATCAGGCAAGGGAGAGGAGGGTCAATGTAAATACACACCACCTTCACTCACTGTGTCCAGGGAACTGGACACAAATGTAGCACTTAGATAGATCCCTCCTCTCATGGAACTCATGGTCTGGTAAGTGATTAGGACACCAACATGGGTAAGCAGAGTGGGAAAAGAATGAGATTTAGAATGAGAACTGTTTGAATCCCAGCTGTGACACTTGTTAATGACTTTGGACAAGTGCTCTCTCCTCTTCTCTTTCCAATTCAAGTTTCCTCAGTTTCCAGCGTCCAATGGAATGGTTAGCCTAGCTGAACTTCTTGACTTCTTTTGTGTCAAGGACCCCTTTGGCAGTCGGGTGAAACCTATGGATTCTTTAGAATAATGTTTTTAAATGAATAAAATAAGTGCATAGGATTTCCAGGGAAACCGATCATATTAAAATACATCATATATATATATATACACACATATATATGTATACACACATATATGTATACACACATATGTATACACACATATATGTATACATGCATATGTACACACATGTAAACATATGCATAGGGCAGCTAGGTGGCACAGTGGATAGAGTGCTGGACCTGAAGTCAGGAAGACTTATCTTCCTGAGTTCAAATCTGGCCTCAGACATATACTAGCTGTGTGATCCTGGACAAGTCAGTTAACCCTGTTTGCCTTAGTTTCCTCATCTGTAAAATGACCTAGAGAAGGAAATGGCAAACCACTCCAGTATCTTTACCAAGAAAACCCCAAATAGGGTCATGAAGAGTCAGACATGACTGAAATGACTGAACAACAAATATATGTATGCTTATATCTATATATATGTAAATGTGGAGAGAGAGAGAGAGAGAGAGAGAGAATGAGAAAGAAACCCCTAGGTCACTAGATGATTTCTTAGTTC